CTCTTTCACTGGAGCAACTGAGTTGGTTCAAAGCTTTCAAGTTTGTAATTCACCAGGATTTCACCAGTAAAGTTGATTTTAAACAAATACAAACCTTCTATCTTGGTTTTAAAGTGGACTCGGAATAGAACAATTGGAGATGTCCAAGTAGCTGAGATTGGATAAGAGTGCAAATTCCACTAGTATTGTGCCAGAGAGAGCATTACAGTATCAATTAACAAACCATCATGTCAACAATTCAATTAATCAATCAACGTGACTGGTTAAAATAATTAAAACTTATAATCTTGGTGATGAAATTGAGAGAAAAATTAGTTGAGTGACCAAAATAAAAATAGTTGCATGCAATTATTGAAGGTTTGTCCCCTTCGATTATTGAATATCCACTGTGATTTCCAATACACACACACACACATGTATACACAAATTGAAAGGCAAACGCAAACTTGCATGCAATTCAAAGCCAAAATGAGAAAGTAACAGAGAAAGAAAATCAGTAGAGAAAAAGCAGAAGAGGAGGCTCATCCAAATTGAGAATCTGCACTGAAACAAATGTAAAGTCACACAAATATAGTATAGGTACATAAGGAAAGGAAACCATATCCATGATCCCCCTTACTACTAAAACTGCAACACCAATTGTTCAAGTACAAATTCACACCAAATTCCAGAAATCAGCATTCTGAGCCCAACAACTTACCTTCTACCTGGAAAATAGTGTAAAAAAGGGGGGATAATGTAAAATACTGATACATACATGAATTTAAATATAGTTTCTTACTGCTGCTTCCCTTGCATTTCCATTTATATCCTCATTTCCTTTTATTGTCTTTACTTCGCTCTTTCTATCATTGATCAGTCAATTGTCATGGGTTGAGTCATGCAACACCTGAAGCGGGCCTTACGAACAGTTGTAAGTATATCCGTTTCAGCAATCTCAAGCATCTTCACGATATCAGTGAAGGGTGGACGGACTTCTGGGTTAGTATCCCAGCAACGCATCATGATCTCACGCAGCATCGGGAGGCAATCATTCGGAATAACTGGCCTTACACCCTTATTCACCACAGCAAATGCCGCCTGCACTGCAGTCATGTTCTGGAAAGGAAGCAAGCCTGTGATAAGCTCCCACAGGACTATTCCAAAACTATACACGTCTACTTTTTGCGTGTAGGGTCTGTGCTGTATCATCTCTCTGCAAGAACAAAAGAAAACTACTAGTATGATTAATGAACAAAAATGTATAAAATTACTTAACAGATGCAATTCAGATACCAACTCAGCTGGTCAGCTAATGAATGCAGTTTCATGTAAAGGATAATTCTGTCAAAACTAATGATAAATAAACGTCAAAACCACTGCATCAACAAACACCATCACATAGTTATTATTGCCTTGGACAAATCTAAATAACATAGTACGTGAGAGGGTAACAAGATCAAGTGATGGATGGAAGGATACTAGAACTAGATTCTTAGGAGAGCTTTCAATACTTTCAAATTGCACCATCTAAAGAAAGACCTGTTTTCACAGCCATCTTAGCCGGAACAAAACAAACACCCAAAAATATGGACAAAATATATGATTAACTGCAAATAGTGGCAGTGGATGAAGACAAGCTCGTCACAATCTCTCTCTCTCTCTCTCTCGCTCAAAAATCTGATCTGTTTAAAATTTCACAAGAAGACTCATGCTTCAAAATCAATTTAGGACATATATAAATGTATGAATGCGTGCGTTAAAGTACTTTATCAATCAAGTATCCACTAAATAGTTGTTGCAGCTTCTTTATTTTACTTGAGAAGCCTAATTCACTTTAAGCTGCAACACACCAGATGCCAGATATTCAAACCTAGGATAGAGAGAGACCTCAAAAATACAATCTTCTAAGATGATAAATGTACATCCCCAGAAATCTACTCAAAATTTCTTCAAGATAATCAACAACTAAATCACTTTTCAAGAATTTGAAATTGTTTAAACATTACAATGTTCTAACCAAAAAATAAAGAAAACTCAAAATATCTAAATAAAATCCGCAAATCATTTAAGTTTATTAAATAAAGGGGTAGGAGACCGACACAGAAATAATGCACAGCCTTATGGGTTTTTCTTTTAAAAAATAAAATCCAATTTCAAGCAAATTAGCAAGAATCATCTAACAAAGATGGGAACTTCCATCAATATTCTTTTAACAAAAATATATAAATGGTATATTGTAAAAGAGGTAGACTTCAACATATACAGTTCAAAAAACTTACGGAGCCATCCAACGGTATGTCCCTGTCTCTGGTGTCATGCCCTCAGTCTGCACCTCAATACGTGCTACTCCAAAATCTGCAATCTTTATCGATTTATCAGCAGCTATTAGAAGATTATCCGACTTCAAATCCCTGTGAATAAACCCAAGCCCATGCACATAGGCCATCCCTCTTGCAACATCCAAAGCTTGCTTAACTGCCAATTTCAATGGCACAGCACGATTCTGCCTCCTTGTCAGAAACTGTCGAACTGAGCCACCCTTTGCATACTCTGTCACAATGCACCAAACCATAGGTTTGCGACAAGCCCCAATAAATCGAACAATATTTGGATGCTTCAGTGTTGCAAGCATCGTAACTTCCTGCTGAAATTGTTGTTCCATAACTTGTGCCTTCTCTGGGCTATTCTCTGGCCTTTCTAATATCTTAATCGCAACATCCTCACCATTATATGTACCTCTGTATAACTTCCCAAAGGCTCCTTGAGCAAAAGCTGAACCCATGTTAAGTTTCCTTAAATCTATAGTCCACTCATCATAATTTAGCAATCCCTCAGTTGGATACCTATTATCCATCAATGCCTGTGCTAATGCATCATCATTAAGTGCATGGCCAACTTTACCAGGACGAATCACGCTCTGTCCCACAGACACGGAGTAATTGTGGCGGTTAGTAGGCTTCAAACCAGGGTGGCTTAAAATGTGGGTTAGAGAATCATTAGAACCGACGCTACTGTTTTCAACTGACATGGACACAGACCCACCAGCATTACTTGTTTGTAAACTGTCAATAGACATGTTAGAGCCCTCTCCAAGCTTTTGGTAAAACCCTTGAGTAAAATCATAGTAATTGTTATCATTGTTGTTGGTTCCTCCCATAAGTCCTGTAAACTTAGGACCCTCAACCATTTTCCCAATCATGAATGAAACCCCAAATGATAAAAACTAGAATAAGCAGATGTCCTTAGCCCAAACTCTTGATACTCATTTGATGGCAAAATCTCTACACGACCTGCCCGAAAACCAAAAAAAAAATGAAAGCCTGTAAGTTTCCGTCTGGCATAACTAGAGTCAAGTTTTATGGACTAGCACTGATCAAGTTTTATGACATAACTAGAGTCAATAGATAGAGAGAATCAAAAGTGTTCGACAAAAGTACCCACTAGCAAGCAAAAGGAGGTAAATGTGGAGATTTAAGAGGATAAGGCTCGTTAGACCGCCAGTACTTACATTTTTTTCCCTTGGGGTTTGTTTCTAATTTAAATGATTTGAGAAAGGAGATACTTCAGAAATGATCCGTTCATGGGTTTAGCTTTAAAAGAATCGAATGAATAAATAAGGCAAACCGTATTTAGTTAGGAATAATAGAGCCCTTCAAGCCGCTATCACACCCTAGAAATGCAATTAGTGAGGATCCCAGGTTGCTTAAGCTGAATCGAAGCTCATAGGCCAAGATAACCGTTCAAGAAACAGTCAACCCTTCAAAGTATCAGCGATATAATGAATTTTAGACCAACCAGATACAAATAGAAAATCAAAATTCTTACCTTTAAATTTTAAATTCAAGTTCTACGTCCTTCCCGGTCCAAAATTTTTCATTTTCTAATTATAAAACCTAAATTATCAAAAAGAATAACATATTCCAGCATAAATCAGATTATGAAAAGACGCTGAAATAAAAAGAAGCTCGGAAAATTACAGAAAAGCAGCCAAAACTTCAGCAGGACAAGTGATTAAGAGAGTGGATTTAACGGGATATATAAAATACATACCTGAAATTTATTATTAACAAAAGGAGTAGATGGAATTTGATAACGACTGATCGAGATGGTTAATTTAATAAATTCATCAAAATCCTCCAACAAGAAGAAGTGCAAGACGAAGAAGACGATCAAAGTACTTGAGCAAAGAAAAAAGAAAAAGGAAAACAAAGAACAGAATACAAAGAAAAGATAAAAAATCCCAACAAAGACTGGAAGAAGAAGATGAAGGGAAGAGCAGTCTTTGCTTCTCATTTACTTTCAAAGCCTCGTTTTTATTGTGACCAGACAGACCCAACACCAGTCGTCACTCGTCAGTATTCTCCCCTACTTTTCCACTCGCCTAAAATACACGTGTTCGTAAAATCCTCTAATAATTTATCTTTTCGAGGACTCTGTCCTCTCATAACGCGCGTGACCTTCCTTCGCTTTTCTTTTCTTTTCCATCCCGACGCATTTTTTCTCGCGATTTTTCCTTTTAATCTCGAGGCAATTTTTGAGGCGTGAAAAATTAAAACATAAGTTTAAAATTTCCATTAAAAAAAAAGAAGGAAGAGTTTCCTAAGATCAATAAGCAGTTTTTGAACCTTCAAATTGAGGTTGCTAAATTCGTGTATGATTTTGTCCAAATGGAAAAATGAGAAAATTCTGCTGTGAGACGGTTAAAATACGAAAAAATGTGAGCTAATAACGGATAAATAGAATCGAAGATAAACTAATTTTTTCTACATAATGATAAGTAAAATATTATAACAATATTAAATGAATATTTTATTTTAAAATTCAATGATCAAATAGAAAATGAATTATTATTTTTAATTAGATTACGTCTCAATAATACATTTGTTCTCAATCTATAACTAAATGATCAAATTATAATAATTAAGAGTTTAGTGCCTAAAATTCAAAAGAAACTAAAAAAAGTGACCTCAACTGTAGTTTAACCTAATAAATGGGAAACTTGAGAAACAAGTCCGTCCGGTCCGGCAAGGTCAGGTGAGTTTTATATATATTCCGTCCGTCGCTTGTGGTATTGTTGACGAAAGGTCTTAATAACTATTTGAAGCAGAACCAGAGCAGAGTTTGGATTAAAATTTAGGGTTTTGGGGAAGACACGGGCAAAGGAAAATAAGAACCAAATGGATCTGAATATGGACTTGAACTCCCCTCACTCCATGGGCACGACCATCATCGGAGTCACCTACGAAGGCGGTGTCGTCCTCGGCGCCGACTCTCGCACCAGCACCGGTATTTTATTTCTCTCCGTCTTTTACTTTTATTACTAGATATTTGAATTTATAAATATTGGACTTATTTTTTGATTTGGTTGATTAGGGATGTATGTTGCTAATCGGGCATCTGACAAAATTACACAGCTTACTGATAACGTCTACGTTTGCCGCTCTGGATCTGTAATTCTTGCTTTTCTTTCAGCTCATCGTTCCTCCCTATATATACTCTTTTATTTAGGACTTTTGGCCTCCACAAAGTGGGAAAAAGAAAGAATGTTATATATATTTTTAGATATGATGATTAAAACGATTTTCATGTTGCAGGCTGCTGATTCCCAGATTGTTTCCGACTATGTCCGCTACTTCCTTCACCAACATACGTCAGTTCTTTCTTATAATATTTGCTTTTACTTTTTCTAACATCTTTAAAATTTTAATTAATTTTGCTATTTTGCCTTCCTATTGAAGTTTGTTCGATTTGAGTCTTTTGGAACATCATTTATCGTTTTAATTCTTAGCTTGAAAGCTAAATTTTTCAAGAGGCTACTAAAGTTTGTGTTCATCTATAAATGTGCTCATATATTCTACTACTCCGCCTAATTTCAGTTCATAAACCTAGTTCTCACCTCATGATCCCTACACAATGACCTCGCAGTTGCTTCCAGTTTGTATACTCCATACCAATTAGCTTTGCACTCTCGTTCTACGAAATGATTTAGCTTATTCGTGTTACCTTACCTCTAAGTCATCTCTGATTTTTCTTTTTTCACATTTCTTATTACTAACCTTCATGAAATTGTTGTTCAAGCTTCTACTCTGAGTAATTTTTTGATAGAATTTTTCCCTGCATGAACAGGATTCAGCTTGGGCAACCTGCAACTGTAAAAGTCGCTGCAAACCTTATCAGGCTACTATCTTACAATAACAAGGTTTGAGCTTACTATTTAGAAAATTTACTCCTTTTTTGTTCGTGAACCCTTTTCCATCCTATTATTCTCACATTTTAAGGCTTGCTGTGTGCATGGTAAATTTAGTGCATTTGTAAATCCCCTGCCTATTATATAGGTTTTATGTACTACTTGATACCAATGTAGTCAAGGGGCAGGCACTCTACGCACTAGGAGTCCTATGTTGCTAGAGGTGCATACCACAGAACAAGCTCTCAAATGAGTAATGTAAGGAGCACATCTATAAATAAAAATAAAATATGTATAAGAAAAAGAGAAAACAGCTACACGGCCCTAAGAGAAGAAGAAAGTAGAAAAGGGTAGTAGAGAAAAGAAAAGAGTAGAAAGCTTAGTAATACTTGTTAATGTAAAACTGCCAACATTGAATTTTGTCTCTAAAACTCTGTTGAGGATGGGAAGTGGTCTATATTCTCTCAAAACATTTACATTTGAGTTTGCAGTTCCTTTGTTGATTTTTTTAACCTAATAAAATTTGTTGCATGGCTCTGTTTTTTAAGGAAAATATTTGGATAGACTATAATATCATTTTTATTTATTTTTTTATGAATATTACATTTTTTAAATAAAAAAAAAATTGTAAGTCAAAGCATAAATCCAAGAGCCACTTTTACTCAGGCCTGCCTTTTTTCATCTTAAATCCCTAGCAAAAAGCACTCTTGGGTACAAATAGCACATTTGTGCACAAAATGCCTTCATCTCGTCAACTGGAAAGTCTAGGGGTATTGACTCTATCTAGTGATGTGCCTTCAGACGTGCCTTGAAAACACTGAATTGTACTTGAATCCTCCATCCATTCAGTTTGTGAGGAATTCATCATCATTTTCTTCCTTCATGGAAATTTTTTCTGGCTGCAGGCCATTTATTTTGGAAATTGGAATACACTTCGACCAGCACTTAAGCTCATTGAAATTATGCCTTGGTTTTGCTGCAATTATCTGCATAATTTATATTTTTAGGAGCAAATGATGTTATTTTATCTTTTTTCTGATAATTGATATCTCTGTGGTTGACTCCCTTTATTATATTTTGAGTAGAACATGCTTCAGACTGGTCTTATCGTTGGTGGATGGGATAAGTATGAAGGTGGTAAAATATATGGAATTCCTCTTGGTGGAACACTGGTTGAGCAGCCTTTTACTATTGGAGGTATGGTACTCTGTTCATATTTTAACTTTAAGCAACCTTTCCTTCCAATTTAGGGAGCGAAGCTTGATGCACGTCTATCTGTTCTGGTTTTATGTTCCCTTTCATTAATTTACATGTATGCAATTATGCATAGTTGGCATTTTGTCTCTTTTTTTTCCGGCTAGAGTTTTACCTACCCACTAATCTGCATATTGCTAAGACTGTTGATTGCCATCATTCTTTCCTTAGTTCAGCCTGGGAAATTGGAGCTAAAAGAGGTTCAATGCAGTCATTGTAGCCTTGAGAATTTTTGGTCGATAAAATATGTGATCAGGAGTCAGTTGTTAAATATGTGATGTCTTCTCCATAATTAGTTTACTAATGATTAATGAAATGGGATCCCCCCCCAATAACAGAATTATTGGTTTCTCAAAGTCGTACAGTACCTACTTCCAAAAATAAACCTAAGATATTGAGAGTTCGGTTAAGATAATTATTGGTGCCATTTGCAAGTGCTGGATTACTTGTGCATAAAAATAGTTATGATCTGGATTGACATGCATTGCGCAGGATCTGGCTCCAGTTACCTTTATGGGTTTTTTGATCAGGCATGGAAGGAAGGAATGACAAAGGATGAAGCTGAGGTACGTTTTGTTTTAGTCAAGCTTTGGCAAATCTTTTCTTTTAGTTCTTTATAACAACTTCATGGATACAAAATTATTTTGTAAAGTTACTTATTGGGTGATTGACCATTAACTTTATTAAGAATTGTTTTATGGAAATTCATTGTAGCAATTAGTCGTTAAGGCAGTTTCCCTGGCCATTGCTCGTGACGGTGCTAGTGGGGGAGTTGTTCGCACTGTGGTGGTAAGATATTTTGCACTTCTAAATGAATGATTCTTGCGTGCGTAATGTGAATCCCGTGTACGGATCTGACATTTCCTTGTATTTTGTGTTGTGTTGAAGATCAATTCTGAAGGAGTGACGAGGAACTTCTACCCAGGTGACAAACTGCAGCTGTGGCATGATGAGTTGGAGCCACAGAATTCGTTGCTGGATATTCTGAATTCTCCCAGCCCCGAACCCATGAATATTTGAGCAAGGCCAAGGGGGCTCATCTTTTAGGTACTTTTCAGCTTCAGCATTACATTTGTACTCATTTCAGACGTTTTGAACGATGTGCATGTAGCTTGAATGGGATTCAGTTTCGCTTTAAGTGGCACTAAAACCATATTTGTTAATGGTTTACGCTTGGATGTTATGAATTCCTCTGCTATTCTCAATTTAGATGCTGAACTGAACTAATAGGATATACTAAAATAGAATGGTTGTGGATTGTCATGTTAATGGCTAGCTTTATTAAAGTAGACAAGTAAAGATACTGGGAAAAGAAAAAAAAAAGACTCCGAGTTGGACTTTTCTTTTATTCGTGATCTTTGAGTAAAATGGGCCGCTTAGAATAGATCTAATATATCTGAGATGGTAGTCCTTATGATGGTTAAATTCTATGGTTGGATTTTGTAAATATATCTGAATGGCCTGTATATTATTTTAAAATTTAAAATTTATTTTTCATATTTTATTTTTATTAAACTGAGTTATTGTATACTTTTTTATTTGAAAATCTTAATTTTACACTTATTTTTATTGTTAAAATTGACCTGATAATTATAAAATGGTAAAATAATCTTTAATTTATACACATACAATTTTTTTTATTGATTTGATCCTTGGTATTAAAAATAAATATATTATTTATTAAATAATTTGATATTATAGTTTTTCATATTTATAATTTTTTAAAGGTTAAATTTAATAAAAATGTAAATAGAGATTAAAAATATTTTTTTTTATAATTGTTAGATTTGCACTTAACAGTAAAATCAAATGAAAATTAAAAAAATTGAGACTTTTAGATCAAAACAATACGGACTCAATTTTTTTTAAAAAATAATCGAGATTTTTAAATCAAAATAATATAGATTTAATTTCACAAAAATTAAACAAAGGATATCATCGAGTTTTCATTGTACATTATGATTCCGTATATTGTAGTCCCTTTTCAGTACATGTTTACTCATTATTAACAAAAAAAAAGATAAATTAATATTAGGTGTAGTGATAAAATACATTATATTTTAAAGATTTAAATTTTAAATGTGATATTATTAAAAGAGGGAGTTAAGAGCCTCAAACATAGTAAAATAAACATTTAAAAGAATAATAAAAACAAGTCAAGTTTTACATTTAAATAATATTAGATAAAAATAATATAGTTTTAACTCACACTGTTCGACCTGGAATGTCAATTCACATGCATCATATATTTTATACCTATTGTGTTGGGTGGATTTAGCTGGGACGTAAAAATAATATTTTAAGATTCATTACGCATTCACAAGTACAACCTTTTATTGTTCTTGAAATCTATCGTTGAAGTTGAAGATGAGATTGAGGGCTAAGTAAATTCTGTTTGAAGTGTTTGGCTGCTGAGAATGGGTTTGGGTTTCAGTGTACTGGTGTAGATCTTTACTTACAGGGAGTTGGTGTTGCTGGCAATTTGACAATCGGCAGGTCGAGGTTGAGGAGGAGTGTGGAACGCAGATACTAAATAAATAAACAACAAGATTCTATATATTATAATCCACCGGGAGGAAAATGAGCCAAGCAGCAGCGGCACCGCACCACGTATTCGAATGGGATTTCAGTACTTCCAATGCATATTCCATATGTACGTAATATCAGGCACTGAATTCATTGTTTGTGACCTCATGTATTATACAGGAACGGAAACAATTGCACAAGAAAAACTTTACCAAGATGACCATGGGATTTACGAAAGAAGTAGAGCTACCTGAATCAAAGCGTTACCAGTTTGTTTTGGTATTCCCCTAGACTGAATAAAATTGCAGACAGTAAGTGGATCGTCATGGTGGTGTTCGTTTGGATTCAATGGTCACAAGGCACCAACTTGGAGCCTTTGTTACAAAGGCCTTGCTCTCCAACCGAGGAAACCAGCTTACCATAACTGTATCTTAGGGGCATCCTTCCCCAAATCCTATGGAACTCCATTATGCATTCCCCTCTCCTCTTCCGGTGCTCCGCCCTCCTGCTGCTCAGCCCCACGTCTCTTACGCCGTAGCCGGCTCCGTCTTCATTTCTTGGGTCTCCCCAGTCCCGGGCCCTTTCCGCCGCCACCATGAGAGGCCCCGCATTCGTCTCCTCGGCCACCACAAAGTTCATCAGAATATCCTCGCAATTGCGCATCTCGTCGACTACCCTCCTCATCTCGCGCATCGGGGCCCCTCTTCCGCAGCTGTACTTGAACAAATACTCCCTCTTCATCATCATGAACTTGGTGAGCACTATGGAATATTTGTTGGGATGCACCGTGTAGATCCACTCCTTCCTCGACAGATCTATATCGTGCGATCTCACGAATACCCCGATCAGACGATCCGGATTGCCCCTCCACATCTTGAACGCGAATTCCACCGTCTTGGGATCCACTTCCACGTCATCATCGCACACCAGGACGGCACGTGTCTTGATCGACGACCTTGGCAGGAACCGGGCGTTGAGGCTGCTGGATGGTTGGGGGACGAGGGAGATGGCGGCGCCCCAGGAAGCGAGCGAGAGGTTGCGGGCGAATTGGGATAGAGTAAGGGGCGGGGTGGAGGGGTTACCCCAGAGGACCTGGACGGAGGATACCAGTGGGGATGCGGAGAAAGAGGCGGCGATGGAGAGGAGGAGAGGGAGGCGGGACTCTGAATAGCCGTTGATGAGAACGGTTAGTTGATCGGATCTGAGAGTGCGAGAGTGGGGCTGGTTGCTGGGATCACATGCTGTGCCTGAAGAGAGAGTAGGGATGCGAAGACATAACGCAGTTGAGAGGGAGAGGAAGAAGATGATTGCAACTACATATGCTTCCATCTCAACTACAAAGAGAAGAGACAGAGAAGAAACTATTCGAACACTGAAACTGTAAAAAAAAAAAATCTTGGAGGGATCCAATTTGCTTTGGACCTTTGGAACTTTTAGTATAATTGTTGAGAGTGACTCCAAGACTGCTATTCGGAAATTAAAGGAGGCTTGGAATGATCGCTCCGAGCGGGGACCGCTCTTTCGTAATGTCAATTATGGTCTCAACTCAAGATCACTGGCTTCATGCTCTTTTGTCTTCACCGGGAGAAAAGGAAACACGGCTGGACATGCAATGGCTTCTAAAGGGTTACGGAGTAGAAGATGCTCCTGAGGATGTTCACCGGCGAGTAGATGAAGATCGCCGTTTCATCGACCCTCCATGGTTCTTCTCCATCAGCTCTCATTTTAAGGATCTTACCAGTCTTGCCTCGATGCTTCCTCTGCTCTTGTCTTTCACCCTTGTTTGTTCATCTCCATGTTCTCGTTTCTTCAAGGCTGAATGTTAATGTCTTTGGCTTGTTTTTCAGATTACTGAAAAATCTCCTCTTGTTTTCCTTTGCTCGTGACTGCTTTCTTTGGTTCTAGTTTTTTCTTCTCGTTTACATCTTGAGTGGGTTCTGCCCACTTACCTCTTTTATTATTCCAATAAAGGCCTTTGAAGTCAACCAAAAAAACAAAATTAGAAGATAAAAAGGTAAATTATGAGTATATAAATTATTATTTTTAGTACGTTTTAATATTTAAATTATATTCTGAGTTTAATTTTTATTTCATTTTAGTATTATTGTTCAATATTTGACGTTAAGTTTTTAAAATTTTGAAAGTTTATGTACTAAGTCTAAAACAGATTAAAACGAATAGTTTAAGTACTAAAAACGTTTAGTTTTTAATAGTAAGAGTACTAAAATGAAATAAAAACTAAACTTTAAATATAATTTTGAAAAAATTTAAAAGTTTAGATATTAAAACAAACCAAAACTGATAATTTATGTATGAAATGCGTAGTTTACGATAAAAGAAATTACACTAAATTATAGTATGGAATGTAAATGTAACCAAATCAAATAATGCATGCTAATTAATTGAGAGATTTAGAATCAAAACCTTTTAATTAGTTATAGAAAGCAAACAACAAAACTAACATGTATATAAATATATGGAACTTTCATTTTATTAAATGTATGTAAAGAAATACAAAAGTTACATACTATTATTGTCCATCCATTTCCTCTTATATAAACCAAGGAAAGTGATCATCATAATAAGGTAGTAGCACAACTTAAATTAATTAATCAGAGGTCTGATAATATCGCGAGAGCCCGATAACCCCTCCGGCAGCGGCACATTCAACTCGGAACAAACTAGCTCTACAATCTTTGAAGTGACACCCCCCAATGACATTTTGTTCACGGTCACAGCCATGGCAAACCGGTTCCTTACATCACAAAAACCTGTTGATCCCCCCATTCCTGAGTGGCCAAACCCAGTGTATGACCCGTCCCCATCTTTGGATTTAAACCTCCTGAATCCTAGTCCAAATGTCCCATCTCCGAAGCACAAATTCCCATATTCACCTACCCCCATGAATGCCTCTTGAACCCTGGGGTTCGAAAACATCTTGCTCCTCTCTCTATTTGCACTGCCCTCCCCTGTAACCCTGATGCTTCTGCTACACTTCACGTCGTCGTCATTCGCAATCTTGGTATAACTGCCTTGCCTAGCATCATTGCTTCCATCAACCTTACCCTTTTGCTTTTCATGGATCTTTTTTGAAGGAAATTTGGGGATATGGGGATGGCTTCCAAGTGGTGGATTTGAAAGAGAGGAATGTGGTGGTGGTACCACACCACCATCGGCTAAGGCTGCATAGTAGCGTGCAAGTGCACGGGCTGAGCAATGTCCATTAGCAGCAGGTATGATAGCACGACGGATGTTAAGCATATTAAAGAAAGCAGGCAAGAATTCCGTAAATTCACCAAAGTTGTTTACTTGGAAAGTCGACGGCAGCTCAGGTCGATTTTGCATTTCTGAGAGCTTCTTCAAGTCATCCATATCTATAGTCAGTGTAGCAAGTCGAGATTCCACACCTGGATGGTAGTACATAAAGAACGAATCAATACTATTATCAGAAAGATGAACAGGACCTGCAAGCAATGAATAAGAAGGTATTTCTACATAATGAATCAATAATACAAAGACAGGAGTTTAAATTACCAGGAGGAATTCCAACATAGAGCTCGCCGTCAATTTTAAGAGGATGAATGAAAGCCTCTTCAAGAATCTCCTGAAATTTCTTCCCAGATGCATGCTGTAGATTAAAACCAGGTTATATGAGTGAGTGAGATATCCTACAATTTCAAGTCAGTCAGAATGTTGGGAAGAAATTTCTTATAATGATAAGAACGAGTAACCAAGTAGGAAGCATGAAGTGCGTCAATGGGAAAGACATCAGTTAACAGCTCGGAGAGAAAAAGAGATCAAGAAAAACAAACATCAAAAAACAAATTCAAGCAATAGAGTTATGAGAATTGTAAACCCTCATGACCACCAACTCCAATAGTCCTCTGATCTCTTATATATTACTCGGACTCTGGTGTGAAAGCTGGATATGGGTATGTTCAACTTTTTCTCTTAATTAGAGCAATGCTGTTTTCTCGAGTTTAATTAGAGAAATATTGTGTAAGCAATGAAGAATGGAGGCGAATGAAAAGGGTACTACTACTATTTGTATGGTGTAGTCTCGTCCTGAGGAGAAAGAACTTACAATCACAGAACCCAGGGCTAAAGATGGTGGGTCTCCTCGTTTTGGCTTTGGGTTGGGGTATAGGATCTTTTGACGAATTTTGGGGTCCTTGGAGGGTCATATAAAGGCAAATATCCTGATATGTGTGCCACATAACAATATTCTTTAAGAAAAATGAAGAGTCGGAGCAATATAGCTCCACTCATCCCCAAACAATATTGAAATGTTTAAACCTTCCCATCTTCCCAAATAGTTATCTTAATGGGATTAAATAAAATTCTCGTGGTAGGAATGTAGTATGATTAAAAATCTTAATCCTCATCAAGTACATGGGAAAGGAAAGGAAAATATCATTTCCATCTCAAACTTCACTATCAGCACCCTTTTTTCCTTTAAGTTGCATCTCAAATACATTGAGGTACAGTGACATAATTCAATGAGCATGGGAAAATACCTCGATTATTCCACCACATAGCCAGCCAAAAGAAAGATAATGATACAACTGCTGCTTCCCTGGTTCGGTCTCAGGTACTGATAATTCCATCCGTTTCAAACATTCATCCCACTCGGTCATTAGCAAAGGATTTTCTGCTCTAAGGTTAGCCAATGCATTATGCAAACCAGACGTATGGTTAAGTATATTATGAACCTGAAAGGGAAAAACTCAAGGAATTAGTATATTTAAATACTTATTCTAAATAGTGGTTATCCAAACTCAATAGGCTTTTATGCACAAAGTTATAACCTTTATGTGCTCCTTTCCATTTCTTCTAAATTCTGGCCAAATATTTGCTACATCTTCTTCAAGTTTGAGCTTTCTGCAAGACAAGGCACCATTTGTTAGACTATAAAAGAATTCCGTAAATTTGATTACTTTTCAAAGATGTCTTCTCTGAAAAAAGTTGCATGTTACTTGCAATGTAAAACACTTATTCCTGCATATGACATATTTTGCTGACATTCTAATTTATGGATTTTACAGGATAATGCATCCAAAGAAGTTTTTAACATTAAATTTTACCCATTGTCTACCAGCCAGTGTAACATTCCTGCAGCTATACCCTTTGTCGCAGAAAAGACAGAAAAAAGTGTATCAGGCTGAACTGGACGAGGATCATATCTTCCAAGCACTCCAGCGGCAGTGTCAATAATAACCTCCCCATCTTTGTATGCACATACCTTGAGATAAAAATTGAAAATATTATCAGAATCAGCACAAGTTAATATGCTTTAAACTAAAGCCTAACCTATATGATTGTAGATTAGCAGTTAAAATACCAAAAGCACTCTTAATTTTTTGTAATGAAACAACAATAAGTATGATGTCCATTATAGCGAAGTATATTACAAAAAAATTGCCCTTATTTCTTTCTTTTATCAAATTTATAACGTCCATCGAAGAATAAATTCTAATAGATTCTAAGATTGCATTTGGTAACTAGGATTTAAAAGAAGGAATTAGGATTTCAAATTAAGTATAAATTGTGTGATAAAACACGTGTAAACATGACCATCATGATTGTTGCAAATTTATGGATTTATTAAATACCTATTTAGTGACGAATAGGAAAGACCTGTCAGAACTAGTGAATTTGAAATTCAACTTATTATATCCTTTCAAAAACATAAAGATATTTAATCTTGAGTAATTTGTGTATAGCGTACGTATTTCATTATTACATATACAGTTTACATTTGCAAACCATATCCAAGCCCACTGTAACATCCTCAATACCAGGTTAGTGACTAAATTGTAAAGTCTTATAATTTGGTGATTAAAATATAATGATTGAATAGTATAAGATTTATTTCTAAATTATTGTATTGAATTGAATTGAAAGGAAGAAGGAATGGAAGGGCAAAGAGGTCATTTACAAGGAAATAAGAAAGGAAGGGTTATATATTAATCCCCGTGGGTTGAAGAGGGGAGAACACAAAGGCTTCCAGAGTTCTTTTCTTCTTCTTTATTCCTTGTACGAGTAAAGCAAAACAAAGGTGAGTTTTCTGATTATTGAGTTTCTTGTTAAATTTAAGATTGTGTTTTGATTATTAGATGATAACTAAGCTTAAAGAAAGCTTAAGTTATCTTAAAATCAAAGGATGATAAAGTTAGAAGAGATTAAAGATTAGAGGTTCTTGAATGATATCTTGGAATATAGTTCATATCTAGAATTGGAAGTTAAATTTGATTTGTCATCAATCTAGTTAAGACATATTAAGTGTTAGAATCGGAATTAAATCATGTTGCAAAGTTGGTATAATTCTTGAATTTCATGAGGAGGATAGGATTTTGAAGTTTAAGATGAAATAAATGAGTATAGATTGATTTAAGTATGTGTACTGGAGTTAATAATATAAAAGGGAATGAAAGATGAAGGATTTAAGCTAAAATGGATAAGTTTTCGGGTTCAAGAAGTGAATTCTGGGCAGAGTGCATCGATACACATCCATTGTGTACCGATGCATCAAGGATAAAATTCCAGAAATTGTTGAAGGTGCATCGATGCACAGGAAGTGTATCGATGCACTCCTTTAAAATAAAAACATTGAATGCCATCAGTGTATCGATGCACAAGTAGTGCATCGATGCACCCCTTAATATTCAAACATCGAATGGGATTTGTGTACCGATGCACAGGTAGTGCATCGATGCACCCGTTAAGGGATGCATCGATGCATACCTTCATTAAAAGATGAAAATAACTTCCTTTTTAGCCTAAGGAATAATAGTTTAGAATATATCAATTAGTATTCTGATATGTATCAATGTATTACTATGTATATATAGAACATAATCTTGTTCCGGAACAATCAAAGGACTAGAATCGAATCAAAACAAGGCTAAGGTGAGTGTAT